AGGGTTCAGGGGATCTCGTAGTCGAGCAGTCTCGACTAGAGCTTTCTTACTTGTTTAAATATAACTAAATAGATATACAGTAGAATCAAATAATAACGATGCTCAATATGCTCAATATATAATCATATAAGTTTATATGGGGACCGAATTCTACTGTTTATAGCTGAAATTCTCTAGAGAATCTTGAGAACTTAATGAACTCTACCAATTATACTCTGATATATACCCTATATATACCCTCTTCAAAGAGAGAATGCTGGATTCTTCTAGAGAACTCAACTATCACAGTATTCGTTCATACTTATATATAATCGCATTCTAATGCCTAGTTTAATCTTGGCTTAGAGTGTTCAAAATGAATAGGAACTATAAAAACTTGCATTAAAGCAACAAGTATTCGATATTTACTTTAGTTTTAACAATTTAAACAAAACCATTATATACTGATTTTCCCAAGGTATACAAATATTTATTAATGAAGCATACATGTAAAATTTACTATACCAAAATCGGGTGCTATTCACCATATCGAAGATAATTTGTTGATATTGTCTTTTGAATTGAATTCGATGACTAGCGATGACTAGCTATTAGGGGTTTCTGTATACCATAGAGACAATAACTTTAAGAATTCAATCATGATAACTTATTTCTACTTAGAGATGTTTGTTGTCTCTCGCTGAGTATAATTCACATTTCATATATATCTTATTATCATATTCATAATTAATTTAAAATTTTCATGTAGTTCAACTTACATAGAACAATATCTTATATTGTTTTCATTGTGAGCATTTATTACTAAAATCTAATCACATTGTATTCCCCCCATCCATGCAGATCCATTTCCACCGATGCTGCCCATTCCGATGCCGCGACACGTGATAATGCCCCCACGCGTCTCGCTTCCCGGCGTGGAGATGACGCTGCAGAACGACGAGCTCTGGAAGCAGTTCCATCAGATTGGCACGGAAATGATCATTACAAAGAGCGGCAGGTAAGGTGCCCGAACTAAATATATACATCGACAAAATCAATATGCCTGAAATGCAACGCCAATAAAATGTTTTCGAGCATTTTTGGTAAATAAAAAATAAGAGTCGCGCCCAAAACAACTTTTGGAATGTAATGGAAGTGGCTGCTCCTCGGCCGATGCATTAGCACGCATGTGAAAAACAATACCCGAAAAAAGACGGGAAAAAATACGCTGGGTAAAGAAAAACAATGTGCATTCATTGCCAATGGCGTTGGCACTTAAAGCGCCGCCAGCGCCGAGCTGTTAGCTCTCATCAGTCAGCACTTAGCCTCAGTCTCAGTCTCAGTCTCAGTCTCAGCTTCAGGCTTGAGGCTCTCCGTCAACATCAACATCGACAATCGACAATCGACGATCGACGTCGGCGCTGTTAAATGCTCATTAGATGCAGGCGCCTGCGAAATTATTTACAGGGACGTCGCGACAACAATTTTCACAGGCAAACAAAGCGGCGGAAGGATGCCGGCTGCTGCAGGATGTGAGAGGCATTGGTGGCCAGGTACAGGCGGCCAGCAATCAAGCATCAAGTCGTATCTCGGGCGAGGCGTAAAACGAACAAGTTCAGTGCCACTTCGCGTGCGCTGCATTCTTTGCATGATGGAGGAAACTCGGGCACGGAATATCAAAGCGCTGGCCCAATCGCCCATAGATATTGTATCTTGTAGCTGTATCTCTCGAGTGGTAGTTGTAGTTGTAGTTGTAAACTACCTAAAAGTGTCCGGCACTTGCTCAAATGTGCGTAAAGTGGCGTCATCGTAATTTATTGTAGGCCTAGTATGGACAGAGAGCTCAGTGTGACGTCCTCTCGGTCTCGGTCTCTTGGCCGGTCGGCGTTCTTAAGAGGGAGCGAATGCGAGCAAGCCTCATGGCTTGACCTGCTGCTGCTGTGGCTGCTGATGCCGCTGATATTGCTGCTGCATGTGGCATAAATCTTCGCGTCAAGGATACTTTGTCGTCATCTTTGTTGCTCGCGGCGTTTTTATTGTGGCGCCTGTCTGCAGTCCCGGCTGCAGCCTCAGCTGCTCTTGCCCTCGAATTTGTATTCTTATTCAATTTCGTATCGGTATCTGAGCGTTGCGCGTTCAGAATGACCACAGCTTGTCCACATTGTCGACAGATACGAGCGATTTCACACTTTTGCCGGCGAGATGCACAAGTGGCGATAAGATCGAGATACAGGAACACGGAGCAGCCTTTGAGAGACTGAGCGATTCCCTTCTCATTAGCATAAACTTTTGGGACAGTCGCAGTTGCAGTTAACTCTTTCTCCTTGCATACATACATACATACATATGTATATGCCATGAATTATTCATAAAGGCTGCGTATTAAATACTTTTTGTGCCCATCAAAAATGTTTTATGTGAAATGCAGCCACAGATACAGAGAGACAGACGGACAGACAATGATGGCGACTCTGTAGCCCCTGTGCGTTCAATCGATTTGAATTTTTAATGATTAGGCGCCACAGTGCCACCGTGTGGTATGCACTGCGTTTATGTGTGTGTGTGTGTATGTGTGTGTGCTTGTGTCTTTGGATGGCCAACGCCAAGTGGCGCTCATAAAAACTAATTAGTTGCCTGTCTCAACTGTCCCATGCCCTGGCCCGAGTCAAATGCTCATAGATTGCATCGCTTTTCGGTTCGCATGGGTGGCAAATGCGCAGACGGCCATAAAAGATAGATAGATAGAACAAAGCGTATCACAGAGCGTATAATGCATCAGTTTTTCAAACTGAAATCTCTCTGTCACGAAGCTTTTAGTGCGCCCCATGAGAATCGCATAGCGCGGCGCAGCACACAGGCCCAACTAAATGAGCTGACATGCAATCGGACACACGGCGTAATACGGGTGAATCACGTTAAAGCGTCGCTGCTGACACTTCCATGTAAAATGAGTAAGAAAAACTATGAGAAGGGACCCACCTGAGAGCAGAGATAGCAACAAAGTAGTCAGCATGAAAACATTGTGCATCTGGCTTATGAAAAGGCTGGAAATTGATAAAATAGTGAAAATGGATCAGACTATTGAAAATACTGGATATCGACTAAAAGAATCATATTAAAATGCACGAAAATAATTTGTATATAATTATTTTTTAATACAAGAATTATGCTTTAAAATAATAAACTGAACAATTCGTTTTACAAATACAAAAATTAATTCAAATATCGAATTGAATAAATTGAATTGAGTTGAAAAAAAAAAAAACAAGTATGCTCTGAAATTATAAAGAGGATCATCTATCAAATACAAAAATATTATTATAAATAAATAATGATTGTTATTTATAGTAAAGAATGTATAAATTTATTTCTGAAAAAAAAGTGACTTGGTTTATCATAGAATATTATGATTTGAAACAAACGGTGTGCGTGTGTCATACTTGTATTTCAAAATGATACTGTTTATTATATTTTGAAATAAAAGAGTTGCATTGTCCTTGTCCCCAAAGTACAAAAATGAAATGTTATATATACAGTCGACTCATAATAATTTGTACTCCGCAATATCTAGAGTCACGATAAATAAAAAAATCTATCACCTTGAAGAAAAGAAATTCTTCTCGATAATTTTGGATAATTCCTGTGTAAAATGAAAAAAGAAAACAGTCGTTTCGAATGTTCAGGACTCGCCCCTATTTGGTGATAATGGATCAGAATCCATTTAATTTTACTTTATTCATTAACTCACTAGTAGTTCGGCTTTTATCTCATTTATTGATGCTATGGAATGAGAAACATCCAAGCAAAAGCAAAGGTATACATACATATATATTCCAGATCGAAATCATTATGCGTATTATTAGTCCGCTTCTAACACAATATCAATTTCAAGGCCTTTGGCTGATCGATTCTATCAAATTTGAATGCTCGATCCTAATCAGCATACCCGATTTTCACCTGGATAGTTTCAACTGCACCTGTTTGACAGCTAACTAAAAATACTCTAAAATGCCACAGATATATTCTTGGTCGTTTTTTATTTGTTTTTCTTTTTATTTATTTCTGTGTGTTGTCTACACAAATGCCTGCATTTGTTAATTATGCGGAGACGCGCCAAAGATCAATATCTTAACAAATCGTTTGTCAAAAATGCACGAGAAGTTCTCCAATAACAACAACAACAGCAACAACGTCCAGAAGCAGAGCATGAAAAAATGGGCAAATTGAAAATGAAATTCTAAACCGCACGAATGTCGAAATATTTGGCCAAGCGTCGCAGTTGCCTCCGCTGCGATCTAATGAAATTCAAGAAAAACGGACAAAAACACACAGAAAAGGAATCAAATTAAATGTAGGCAAACGCAACGCAGTCGAGTTAAATTAATTAATCATCGAGCAGAGCACAGACGAAACAAAAAAAAACAAAACTGAAAAGGCATTAAAAATACAAAATCATTGCCAAAAAGCAAAAACAACAACAACAACAATTCGAATTCAGAAACTCTAAACAACGTAGAGAACATTTCGAGGCTGGCGCCAAGCGCGCTGGCCACCTGCTGCGCCTCTGTGGCAGAGGCGGTGGCCGAGGCGCAGGGTCGGAGCGATCCTTGTTAGCACAGCGCACACACACAGCCAGCGCTATGGACGATATCTGGATCTTTATTTGTTCCTTTCTGTTTGCCCTTTTCGGTGCGTTTGCCTAGGCTAATTACATGGGCCACGAGCAACTCACAATTAAATATTTGTAACGCCCCCCAAAGGATGCCTCAATTCGATTTCACTTTCATTTAACCGTTGTTGACTTTATTTCAAAATATCGCCCTAACTCTCTGACTCTCTCCACTGATTTCAGACGCATGTTTCCCTCGATGCGCCTGAGCGTCTCAGGCCTGGAGGACGAGACCAACTACTGCATCCTGCTCGAAATGGTGCCCATCGGGGACTGCCGCTACAAGTTCTCCGGCTCCCAATGGGTGCCCGCCGGCGGCGCCGAGCCCCAAAGTCCACAGCGCATGTACCTCCATCCGGACAGCCCGGCTACGGGCGCCCACTGGCAGGCACAGCCCATACTCTTCAACAAGGTGAAGCTGACGAACAACACGTTGGACAATAGCGGTCATGTGAGTACCTCCCACCAAATGCAATTCGATGTCAGTTAGTCAATGTAATGTCATTCGCTCTATCTCTCTCTCTCTCTCTCTCTCTCTACTGTACTCAAGCAGATCGTGCTGGCCAGCATGCACAAGTATCAGCCGCGCTTGCATGTGATACGAACCGCAGATCTGGCGCAGATTCCGTGGGCGCCACAGCAGGCCTTTGTGTTTGGCGAGACAGAGTTTGTGGCCGTGACAGCGTACCAGGTAAGTGCAAAAGCAAACTAGAAACAAGCAAGTCGTAACTGCTCGACTAGCAGATACCCTGAACCCAGCGAAGAGCTGGTATTCCAGTCATTCCACGTTTCCATTATGCGAGCACAACACACAAATGCAAAAGGACGCACTCACACAGACACACACATTAGAATTCGCTCTGCTTACTCCGCAGTGGACACGACTGCGCTCGGGCTGCAATGTGGGCGACACTACAGCAATTAATTAGAGCTTTTCTTAAAGACATAACTGAAGAGCTAATAATTACGTCAATATGTGTGCATTTGCTTAAATACTAGAGGATTTTAAAAACGATGCTCAAGCGACCGTCGTTGTAACCAAAAGTGGCTACAAAAATATGAGTTTAATCATTTAAATTTGTCTGCAGACCAGAATTTTCGAATGCCGATTTGACATCTCTTTTTTAATTCGGAAGGAATGGAGGACGTGATAGAAAACGTAAATTTAAGATAATAGTTATTAATTTTGATCTATACAAAGAAATGGGAAAGCAAATGAGTTATAGAAAACAAAAAGCAAACTTTCACAGATTATGCTCATTTACAATGTTAACTCTTTGGTTTTTGGCTCAAGAGATCCGACAGATCCCTAGATCGACTCAGCTCGGCGCCCTGATGAAGAATGTATACATATATTTCATGTGGACTGCCACGCCTCCCTCTGCCTGTCACATGCATTTGAACAAAACTATCATACCCCGATTTCACATTTCCAATGGATTCAAGATATAAACACAGAGAGAAAGAGAGAGAGAGAGACAGAGAGAGAGAGAGAGAGAATGCATACATACATGTATGTATGTAGTTGGCTTGGTAGATCAGAATTTGCCAATTCATTGAGCTGGGCACACTAATTGGTTAATTTCGGCAACGATCGCTCACGCCGTGGGCAGCCTGACCAACGTCTCAAATTAGCATGCAACGCCCTTTGTCTACAAATGCCACAAGTGGCCCGGGCGGGCGGCCTGTGTCACGTTGCCTGTGTTGTTGCTTGTTATTTTAGGAAGTTGGATAGCCACATCCTTTTGACTCTTGCTGTGTTTTTGTCTATGTCTGGGCCCATTGACAGCGCCTGCAGGTCGCCAGTCCTCCGGCTGTCAGTCGGCAGTCTGGGCTCTAATTAGCGTGATCGCTTCCACAAGATCATCCTCACAGAGTTGTCAAGTCATGACTCCAAGGCTCAAGTAGACGACTCCTTGGCAGCGGTGTCAAGTGGCCCTGTTACTTAACGCCAGCTACTGGCCGTTGCTCCGAAGATGATGTTGTGATAGTGACTCCGTCACTGTCTGCGTCTCCGGGCTCGTTTTTTTTAAGCGTCTGCAACTGGCAATTGTCATATTTCATGCAATTTACAACAATAGTGCAACTGGTGCAACATTGACTCCTTATCCTTTGGCTCTTTCCACAGAATGATCGCATCACGAAGCTGAAGATCGACAACAATCCATTTGCCAAGGGCTTCCGCGAAACGGGACAGTCGCGCTGCAAACGCAAAATGTCTTCATCGCCAACCGATGATGATCAAGATTTGCCTCAGACGCATTCGCAGTCCTCTGGCTCGCTTGACATGTCGCCAGGCAAATCCACGACGACAGCAGCAGCAGCAGCAGCAGCAGCAGCGGCAGCGGCAGCGACAGCCGAAGCAACATTCACATCGAACAACAGCGAGCAGGATGGGCCGCAAATTAAGCGCCTGAGATCAAATGGTTCCGCCTGTTCGTTATCGTCATCGCTCGATGGCGCTGAGCCAGTTGCCGGGCCTGGCGCCAGCTCCTTGGGCTCGCCTGCTGGCGGCGCCAACTCCGCCGCCACCGCCACCGCCACCGCCTCGTTCATGCAACATTTTCAGCAGAACATGCAGACGCTGCTGCGACCCTCGCTGGTCGATCTCGCCTGCACCTACTTCGGCCGTCCCGCACATGAATACAATGGAGCGACGCCGGCGTCGCATTTGTATCCGCCAACGTCCATTTTGCAAGCCGCATTGCCAGCACTTCCGGCCCTCGCCTTGCCTCACAGCGTTTCCGTTCAGCACACTGACGAGGAATCGACAACGGACGATGCTGAGCTAGATGTTGGCAGCGAATCAACAATGACAACAACAACCACACTACAGCAACATCAACATCAACATCATCCACCCCCCGAGGCACCCGTCAAGCGAAAAGGTTTCAGCATATCTGCAATTCTAGGCGGAGGCAGCTAGTTGCAACAGCCTGTGGCAGCCTGAGAGTGCCGAGCTAATGCCTTTGATATTATTTAGTGTACAAATTTAAGCTGAACTTTGCCTGATTAGTCCATAAGCTAACGTTAAGTTTGCCTAATAAATACTTAAATATCAATAATAAACCTGTTTCATTTATTTATTTGATTTGAGTCATCTGAGTGAGAGAGTGAAAATTAAATTCAAATTAAATGCGTAAGTAGTAATCAGCTAATCTTAATTTATATTGAATTTAATAATATCTGGAGCCTGCATCCAAAGCACATACTAAATTAATGCTCTATAAAATATACATATTTACATACATACATATAACTAAATACAAAATGTTTTGCCTGTAGATCTAAAGATGTTAGTTTATAGCTGATGGCGTTCAAACGGGAATAGTTATATATTCCTCTAAACAACCTTGATATGTTCATAAAAGCCGAAATAAATCAAATCTCTAGTTCTTAAAGGGTCTGAGATGGTCGGACGGATGGATAACTGGACAAAAGACGTACAGGACTAAGTCGACTCGGCTTGTCATCTTGGTTAAAAATTTACATACATACTTTATGGGAACTGCCACGCCTCCTCTGTCATTGCACCCTCCACATTTTCAATGGGTTCAGGGTATACAGATATTACTATAAATCCTGAAATAGATAAGTTCCTATTTGAATCCATTTAAGCATCTACACTATCGTACGGGTATTAATTATTACTATTTTAATTATATTTTGAAAAGTGTTTTATGCATTAAAAATAATACTTGCATAATTGCATGATTAAGAATAATTAAAGAAACGAAAACATCAAAATGCAGTTGAAAAGAAAAATTGATATTACTATGGTTAAGGTTAAGGTTAGATATAGATATAGATAAATAAAAATTAAATCAGATATCAAGAGATCTACATACCTTTCTAATATTTATGACTATATTAATAAAAGTCTCTGCACTCGAAGGCGCCTCTTCGATTACTAACTTACTTAGTGCAAGCAGATCCCAAGTATTTAGGCCAGACAGCCTAAATACCTTTTGGATAATTGGCAGATCTAAAGGATGTTTCATAGCCAACACGCCCCTACACTTTGCTGTAGGTAAATGAATATGTTGTCAGTCAGTTGGGATTTTATCTGTGGTGCAGCATCTAGCAGCAGCAGCAGCAGCGGCAGCGACAGCGGCAGCCAGTAGACGACGCAACTCAAATCACAACTTCCGCTTAACATTAATCCCAACCAATTTACAAGATAAACGCTAGAATTTCAACAACATCATCAGCCGACGAAGATGACGCCGGTGGTGCAGCATCCATTAGCTACACTGCACCAACGGACTGAGACGCGCAGCAGCGAGTGGCCAGAACATAATTTGTTTGCAATTAAATAGCTCGACAGGGCATGAAATTCGGTTGCAGCCCAATGAGAATACTCTGGAGACTCATAGTGGTTAAAGATGTTTATGGAATGGGCAGAGACTGAGACTAAGGGCGACGGCGGCGTCGGCGGCAACAGCAGCTAAGAAACAAGAAAACAAGAGAAACAGACTCATTTCGTTATGTAAGCTGCAGTTGCTTGTTGCTGTAGTTGCCTAGTTTATTTCGATGGCCAATGATGAAGTTTACGATGACATGCGTCACCACCCACGTCTGAAGTCGAACAGAGGACGTCGAGGGAGGCGTGTGCAGCGTAGTCTCCGGCCATAGGACGGCTAGCAAAAAAGCAGAAGAAAAATATCTAGAAAAAACAAACAATTTCAATTTACCACCAAATCGATTTCAAAATTGTACTCACCAGGGAGCAGCAGCAGCAACAGCAGCAGCAGCAGTGAGCTGCGGTTTTATAGCGCACCGAACGGGTGACAGATGTCATTCTGGCTGTGTTGACAGGCGCAAGGTTGTAAGTGCATTGAATGCCTCATTAAATAGCTAGAACAGCGTCTGCGTCCGCGTCTGCGTCTGCATCTACTTCGGCGTCTGGCAGATGTCGCAGGTTGTGCGGCGTGTGCGTAATTAATGCATTTGGCTGTTGTATTTTACGGCTCGACATTTGTTGTTGCTTTTTGTGTGCCCCATGAAATTAGATACACTGTGTCTCTGCAGCCAATTGCTGTTGTGTAAACACAAAATGGGGAGCCACCCGAACAATGACGGAACCATTACCATTACCGATTCCTAAACGAAAGTTAATTGCTTGACTGCCGGCGAACAAAAACAAGTGCTAATGTGAAAGAAAAACGTTTTACGCGTGGCATAAGTCATTATAAGACACTCAAATAGCGCGCCTTGTGACATCAAGCGAGACATTTTGCACTCCCTGCCAAAAAGATGCCATTGCAGTTGCGCATAAGATTTTAATTAGCAGGAAAAGGGAAAGAGTTGGGGGAAGAGGGTTACCTTATTTGTGTTTAGTTTTTGATTCGCTGAACGACTGAAGCGACTGTCGACCACATAAATCCCTCGCCGAAAATAAACATATTTTGTAGGCCAGAAGAATGCAACAAAGGTCGGCGGCAGGAAGAAGGCTCAGCGTCGTGTGTCGCCGGAGCCAAGCCATAAATGCCAAATCTCTCATAATCTATGCATGCGCATATATATCTTTACACTTTCTTAAGCGTAGTCCTAAGCCGTGGTTTTAAACTAGAGCGGAGCCAAGCCCACTTAGAAGCCTGCAGAGCAGTTTATGCAAATGGGCTCACATATGGGCCGGGCGCGAGACCGCGCCGCGTTCGTGTCCGTGTCCGGGGATGGGACAATTAACAAAGAGTGTAATTTTTCGATCGTAGCGTGTGAACAATGGCACAAACAATTACCGGATAATAAAAATCCACCCACACACATGCAGGCTAACGGCAAAGGTTTGCCGGTCCGATACGACCCATGCTTCAGTTTTGCAATTCCATGAGAACAATTCAAAGTAGCAACACCAACAATGCCCGCTGTCAAGTGCGTGTGCTGCTCTCCGTTGTTGTGCACATTGTCCGTGCCCTTTGTCTACAAGTCTATTGAGTGCAAACTATAGATGTAGGTATTTAAGTTCTCTGCATAATTTGCATATTGTTGTTTGTCCAAACACTCGCTACCTGAAATGGGCGTTTTTAAATTAACCACAGACATATCGGCAGCCATTGATTTATCGATAATATATTAAAATCATATAGTCGATACATAAATTGCAATTGTCAGCTAACAAAAGTATCTATGTTTTCACAAAAAATAAATTCCTCATTAAATGATATATAATACAACTGTGATATCTTCAGATAAATATTCAAAAGTTTTTAAAAATATATATCTAAGTAATTTATATTGTTCTGTGAAAAAAGTTGGGTCACAATTATTTCTCAATATTTTTTTAAGATTGTGATTATTATGCTTGAACTAATTCAATTTAAATTTGTGGTTGAATACTTAAATATTATTTTTTATTGCTTTGAATTTCCCTTGCAGTTTCTAAATATCGAAAGCCACCCGGTCCGTCATAAGCTTTGATCATTAGTGCTCTTACACATCTTCAGTCACGCGCCCATCTCTATGATAATTTGCACTTTAATTACACATTTCTTATTTTTAAAGAACAAAGACAGAAGATGAGTTTTAACAATAAAGATAAGCAAAAATATTGCGAAGAAATTGACGACGACAATGATTCGTTCCACTCCTTCGCACAGAGCGATTTCGATTCAGTCATCTTGGAATCTCTTACCGACATAGAAAACTCCACCACAACTGACTCACCGAAATACGAGAAAAATGCTGTTAAGAAAGATAGTACACAAGCATATGTACATATACATATATAGCGCAATTAATATTGATCTTAATTATATAATTATTATTTGATTTTAAAACTCTCGCATTTAGATGAAGCGAAGCTTTCAGGCAGCCTATTCTACTCCGAAGTCATCTGACAGCTGTATCTTGGATGCAAATGCTCCCTTCGAAAGCCCAATTCAATATCAAACCCCGGAATTGCAGCCGTCGCGAGAGAGCTTGAAAAAGTCTCATTACATGGTGGAAGGCAATTCGGAAATACCTGATATGAATCTGTTCAACATGAATGCAACGCCGTCAAACAAGAACGATCCAATGAATGTCAGTATCGACACGGAAGTATTGCAAAAGTATGCCTTTACAGAAATTTGGCTTGAGGAGCAACAAAACAACCCGGGAAAAAAACGTTCGCTGCACCGGGAATTTACGGCCGCATTGGATAATTATTTCCATAAAGACAAAACAGTCAATAAACTAAAAAGTATGACGGACGAGGAGGAATTTGATCGAAAAAAGGGCAACTTAAACACACAAGTTGTTATAAAGCCCAGCGAAGTAAATAGCCTTAGTTCCTTTTTGTATAGTATCTTAAGATTTATATTTACAGTTAACTACCCCTACATCGGCCAGCTTTCAAACTGTTTCCGAAAGCACCCCGTACGTGTCGCCTTTCGAAGACATGCCCACAGTACACGAAGATATGATATTGACCGGACCCAATGCCTATATTACTGTGCCAGCTGGTTTTGATTTGACTAACTTGGTGGAGTACAAAAATCCCAATCATTGGCATCGACGTCCCACTACTCGAAACGATTATCACCCATAATTATAAAAGTGCAAGCCGGAAATTGCATTAAATAATAAGTCACATTGAAGTGAATCGTGTCTATGAAAATAATATTAAACTGTCATGTGAATCAGATGATCATGTTCAAAAGACTGTTTTTTAGCATTTAGAGTAACAATGATTATGAATCCTACTATTATATCACATATGTAGCTGACACAAGAAAAATTGGCATTGAGTTAAATTCTTTTTGTATTACTATTTACTAATTGATATATTATGCTGGTTCGCTATAAGTAAAGCATAATCCCAAAAGCTTACCTAAATAGTGAAATTACTTTTCATGAGAATAAATTACGTTTTCATTGCATTGTTTATTTAAATATGACATGTGCACTTTAGGGCATTTATATATTAATCTATGTCATTCTTGTTCAGTTGATACATCTTTCTTAGAACCCAGTTATTAGTCTCTGTTATTCTAACGCAACTAACGATTTTATTTTTGCTTTGTATGGAAGTGAATATAAGCTTTTTGTGCAGGATTACATATCCCCAGCTGAATTTCATGCATTTCAGAATATAAATTGAAACTTTCAATCAAATGAGAGGGCATCATGAGCATCCAAAGTGTCTTGCATTCCTTAAGTGCTTACGCATCGTGTGGCAATTGGAGGCACGAAGGAGCATGTCGCATTGGGATGATTGAAGCCGGCGCCCAACTCTACTCCAAATGATTTCATTGCGATGCCGATAAAATTGTCGCCAGCGAAATGTCCACGACTTTGATTTTGACCGCCATAACATTAATTTCCAACGAAATTACACATACATAACAGAGTGAAAGAGAGGGAAATAACAAACAATAAGAGCTGGAGCAAATACAGCAAACACAAGGCCTGGGATAAAAAGTTTGCTTATCTACCGCTGGAGAGCCGCAGACCGAGACTGGGATCGGGACCTGCAACGGCGCTCATTTGCCTTTGACATGCGAACGTTTTTGAACCTGCGCCTAGCTAGCTCTTCTTGACTCTGGTTTGTGGCACTCGGATGCCGTGGCTCCCAAATGAGAATTCAATAAATTTTAGCAAATAGCCCCAAGCAAGTCGGCAACAACAGCAACACAATGGATATTTGGCGTCGTCAGTCTTTTTGGCGACGTTTAACATGAATATGCAGTGTGGCTAATGTGGAGCCCATAAACACTTCCAGCGGCAACATGAATGGAGCTGCAGCCCCACAGCGTCCGACAAGCAACAGATGTCCCCACCAAGAGCAGCAGAAGAGAAACAAAACAGGTTACGGCCTACGTGTGTGGTGTTTAGTGGTTGGAGCTGGAGCTGAAAGTTGGGGAATCAGCCGCTTAACAATTGTTTGTTAACGCGATTTGGAATGAAACGAAATGCCACCGTCGAAGATTTGCAATTTGGCAATATCCCTGTCTCGCTCGCTCCTCGGCTACCGGTTATCGGTTATCGATTCGGCCTGAGCTCCGTTTGGGGCACTCAAAGGGGCCGCCGCATTTCCGTTGGCCAGCGCAACAAGTTGCATGTGTGAGGCAACGACTCGAACAATTTTGCATGTAAATGGCAAACAACTACAACGTGAAAACATCAATTACATTTGCTCTTACCTTGCGGCCAACTGCTCGCCAGGATTACCTGCCGATCGTCGCGCTCAATCAGCGCACTGGCACTGGCACTGGCGCTGGCGCCAGCATTTAAGATGCGGCTCTCTCTGATCTGCTGATAAGCTCATGTCGTCGGCGTTGTAGCTGTGCTTCTTCTTCTGCTGCGCTCGTTGTTGTTGTTGCTATTGCTGGCGCAGGGAAACGGGAGAGCGAATTGTGCAGCCCTCTCTGTGAGCCAGCGTGAGCTTGTGGAGTTAGAACTGGTTTTTGTGGCCAGCACGCGAAAGATAGAAGACGCAATTACAAAAAGTGAACAAAATGGAAGCACACCAAATAATTTCAAAATAAATACATATGCATATACATAAAGGGAAGAAGAAGAATTAGTATTCATATGCAAGGTCAAGAGAGATAATGGGGCATCAGATAAAAATGGCTCATGTAAAATTATGCGACACACCGATTTTTACATACTCTTTTATCTGTATTTCCATGTTTGTTTTGTTGTATGGGCGCAGTTCATCAAATTTTACAGGCAAGTACTCTTTGCAAATACTAAGCTGTTTGGTCAGTGGCTTGATTAAAAAATCAATATTAAACGGTTCATAAGCTAACAGGAATTATTATATTATTTTTATAATACTTTATTATAATTGTTATTAATAATAGTAACATAAAGACTATTATAATATTGTTATAAATCTGAATTTAATTGTTCATTATGACAACTCTTCTTCTCATAGTTATAGTGATAGAGTTTTGTAAATAAATATCACTAAGAGAACACATACATATGTATGAACATAGAAAAGCCTTAGACTGTTCTATGGTCAGTGACTATTCATAGAAAATATAGCAATTGAATATTCTAAGATCTCTTGATAATTTCTAAATATTTTATTATTAATAATAATTTTGCATGTGCCCCAGCTCAGTGGGCTCATCATTTTCAACAGAATGATTGAATAATGTGATCAGTGTGAAAAATACATACATAAATATGTACATCTAAATATACATACTTATTCTATTGATAGATGTCTGCTTGAACACGTCATAAGCCATAACAATTTAATGGTACAATTATAGCCCACCTGACACCTTACAAGTAACTACTGTTTATATAGGTATATTCTCTACCCACAGCAGTTGAGTAAAATTATTTCTCTCGTTGTTCCAACAAGATTAACAACTTTTTCATGTTCACCCCGCGTCTCGCGTTTCGCATCAAGATCGACTTGGCCCTTTTTAATGCTTCAATAAGAAAGGCCTTTTCTGAAATTCTTATAAAAAATCTTTATTTACTCGCATTAAAATGCCAAAGACAATAAATCCATTACGAAATCATTCAAACAATTAAAATTGCATAATAAATACTTAGGATAAATACTGATGGCAAATACCTGGAAATCTTAATTAACTGCAAAATATCACAATACAACCTACGGACTAAGCAACTAAACGCTAATTAAATGTATAAGGCACTTAGGAGCGACAACTAAACAGCTGAACGACTGAAATGGGAGCAGCGGCAGCAGCTCCACAGCTAAGACGAGACGCTCACTCCTAATATGTCCAAGATGCTGAAGCTGCTCCGTTTGGGCCTCGGCACCGCAGCGACAGCAACGGCGGCAGCAGCAGCAGCAGCAGCAGCTGAAACGGCTACGTTGGCCATACCAGTGATTCGGCTAATCGATTCGGATTCCAGGTCGGGCTCTGGTGCGCTTGTCGTGGTGCCCACCACATCTACAAAGGTATCGGTCTCTGGCTCGGCGGCGGAATCACAGCCAGACGAGGAGGAGGAGGCACGCGACGAATCGGGCGATGGCGGCGAATAGGCCCAACTTGGATAGCTGGCGATGTGTCTGGCATAATCAATGCACGGCAGGGGCGGCGGCGGCGCTGACAGATAGAAATTGGCCTCCAGAGTATCCAGCAGATAATGGCGCGGCATCAGCAGCCCGTTTGCTGGCGGCTGTTGCCGTGGCTGCAGCAGGGAGAGCTCTTCGGGAAGACGCGGCCGTTTGGCCGACGGCGAGGCTGTGAGCTCCATGTTGTTGACGGTTCCTGTTCCGTCTGCATGTGCAGGCGCAGAGGGGGAGTCGTTTAGCTTGCGCTTGCAGCGTGACTGGCCCGTCTCGCGGAAGCCCTTGGCAAAGGGATTGTTGTCGATTTTGAGCTTTGTGATGCGATCGTTCTGAGGGGCGAAAAGAAGAAGGTTAGTAATTGATCAATTGATGAATTGAGGCCCAAGACTACATACCTGATACGCTGTGACGGCTATAAACTCAGTTTCGGGGAAAACGTAGGCCTGCTGCGGGGCCCAGGGTATCTGGGTCAGATCGGCTGTGCGAATCACATGCAGTCGTGGCTGATACTTGTGCATGCTGGCCAAGACAATCTGTATGTAGATAAGCGAATATATTGCGATAAGTGGCTGAGAGGTGATTATATGCAAAGACTACACCTACATGTCCATTGTTGTCCAGCGTATTGTTGGTTAGCTTGACTTTGCTGAACAGCAAAGCCTGGGATTGCCAATGCTTGCCCGTTGCGGGGCTGTCCGGGTGTAGGAACATGCGTTGTGGACTCTGGGGCTCGGCACCGCCAGCTGGCACCCATTGGGAACCGGAGAACTTGTAGCGACAGTCGCCAATGGGCACCATCTCCAGCAGTACGCAATAGTTGGCCTCCTCCTCCAGCCCGCTGAGGGAGACACGCATCGAGGGAAACATACGTCTGGATAAAGTGAAGCAATTACAATGGCGGTTAGTAACATGGTAAGTGATCTCATTCGAGGGCTTATCTCGCTGCTCTGCATGCCACAGCTGTGAGTCTGAGATAAGCGGGCGCAAAGATACGCTAAGCAAATTATAACTCAACATACCTGCCACTCTTTGTGATGATCATTTCGGTGCCAATGTGATGGAACTGCTGCCACAATTCGTTGTTCTCGAGCTTCGCTTCCACGCCAGGCAGCGAGGGCTGCGCCACTGCAGGCGCCACGAAATGTGAGCCGAAATTGGGCAAAAGGCCGCAGAGTGGATCTGCAATGGACAGGAAGATGGTAAGATAGACGTTAAAGCCGTCGGCAAAGCACACTCAAACCACTCAAACCTACCTGGCAGACGTTGCATAATTTGTTGGCGATAAAGCTCGTGTGCAATCTGCTGCTGCATGCGCAGATCCGCAATGTTCGGCAGAGCCAACATATTTTTAATTGTAATCACAGTATTTGACAATTAGTAATGTTTACGACTTGTTTATTGTTCACTGTCAAAGCGCGTTTCAATCTGAGTTAAGTCGAAATCTCGATCAGTTCTTTTTTCTTGTTCTTCGTCTGCTCGCTCACTCACGAACTGCTCGTCTCGCCGTTCAGATTGTAACTGTTGCGCTCTGAAATTCGTTCGCTCACAACTCGATTCCAGCAGAATCCAGTCAGTTCACTTTTCTGTCTTCGCCGTCGTATCAGGTAGCGGCACGACCTGTTTCTCCGCTCAGGCCACTTCCAGTTTGCGCTCTCTCATCTACGGAGCGCTCATTGGTCGCTGCTGCTGACGCATAGCATGCTGTCTCGCTCGGGTCAATGATTGCGCCATTTTAAGCGAGTTCTTCACCGGCGGAGCTAAATGATGGGCGCCCATATTGTTGTTGATAACATTGATTGCATTTGGGGGAATCTCTTTGAACTAAACGTTCGGATTTTAATGGTAATAAAAATGGAAATCTTTTACATTTGCTCCACTAAAAATGGCCTATTAGCCCAAAATAGCTAATAGTGAAAAGCGTAATATGAATTTTCTAAACTCGAAATAGTTAAATGATTTTTCTTTTTTTGGTATTATTGGTATGAATTTACTGTGCCTAAAATAAAGCCAACACATATTTGTAGACTGTCTACATCTGTAACAGTTAATATATTTCGTGAAAATAATCGACAAGATATACAATAGTAGCATTCAAATGAATAGGCTTAATATTTTGGAAAGTTTACATTGTTACATTCTTCAACTCTAATTTGAATGAAACAAATTTTTAAAACGAACGAACGCAATAATCAATCAAAGTCATATTTGATATAACTTTACAGATAAGATACTTTTTTTTTGTTATAACTAACAAAACTTAATTCAATTTGATATAATATAATTTTTGTTATTATATTTTTGTTATCAACATTTATATAGCTTACTAAACAAACACTGTAAATAAATTACTTCAAATGCATTTGATATATAATGATGATATTTAACTTGAACAGTTTCAGTAATTAAACTATATTATTACTTTACGTAATTTTAATTTATTACCTACAATACTATATATAGTATAGTCTTTTTTATTATTATTTAAATCCTTGAATTCAAAATGAAAGTTTAAAGTGCTTATTTCCAACATTTATCTGTTTCGACTTTGACTTGAAATCACAATCGACTCATCATATATCTCCCAGCTGGCTGAAGAGGATATCAGTTAGTCTGTAAGCCTTATCGTGGATCAGCGTACAAGATACCGCTTGTGTCTCGCTACCGTTTGCTACGAGCGAAAGCAAAGAGATGGGCCTGGCGATAAGCTGCCGTAATCAAATGTTAAACGGTACTTTAGCATGGCTGCAAAGGGGCGCAACAATTTGTTGTGGAACATCAAACTGGCGCCAGGGCCGAGCGACAGCCGCCACATCCACTTGACTGGCAGTCGCAGTCGCAGTCGCAGTCGCAGTCGCAGTCACCTTTTGCTGTGTGCATTGCCACTTGTCCTGGGAACAGTGGGATGACAAAAATGACGACGACGGCGTCATTGTCGGCATCATCTCACAGGCGAGTCATAAAAATGATCACACTTTGTGCCAAGGGATGCTGCTGCTCTGATGTTGTTGTTGTCGTTGTTGCTGCTGCTGCTGCTGCTGCGAACAATAGGCACAAAAGATGCGCACTTTATGGCCGAACGATGAGCGACAGCTAACAACCGACCGCCGACTGTTTCCGACTGTCTATCGGGCATTTTGGATATTATTGTTAAGATTATTGTATGTTTGTGGGTCGGCTCTACAATTTATTTTTATTGTCTAGACTCTATACAAAAAAAAAAAAAAAAAAAAAAAAACAAACGAGCAGACAAAAAACCGCAACGGTCAACCGGAACATCTGAGGTCCTGTCCGATATAAAACTGTCTATCAATATGCATAAAATAGATGACTGTAAATGGAAACCGAAACTCCTTCTGTTATCCAACGAAGAAATCCGCAGTCCGAGTCATTAGCCAGCTGAATATCCGGTCATTTGACTAGCTTTGCAGAAGCCAGGCTCAGCATTTCCGCACTAAGTGCACTTCCTATCTCTAGCTCTGACTCAGGCAATTAGTGTTCCTGTACAGTAGTCACGGGCCAGACGGATTTGCGTCATTAGCGTCGTCGCGCAACGATTTCATTCTCGGTTTTCATTGCCTGCTCCCGGGAAAATCCAGGGAAATTTGAGCATTCATTCACTAATTGCTGCCCCTTGGCTTTCAATTTACCATATTTTGTTTCGCAATGCGCTTAGCGCCCTAAGATAAACATCAGAGCGAAGCTTACGTTTTGCACATGAATCAGACATATAGATTTATTGTTGCTGTTGCTTTGGATTTTGGTTTTAAATGTTTTACATACACATAACTTATAAAATATGCGAATTCATCACACTCAAGCCACGTTTTATACGGTATAACTCTTAAATCTTATCGTAATTTATATTTAGCTATATGATTTATGTATTCCATGTTATTAATTCAGTTTCGTATTCTGTTGTTTTGTGTATTTGTCGTTAGTTTACTATAATTTGTTGTTTATCACAGCTATAAGTTTAAACATATACATATACAGATATACATATATATTTTATAATTGAATTGCATTATTTTGTTTCTTTTTTTTATGTATGTTTTATAAAATACCAACATATGCTCAAGCACATACAGAAACTCACATACATGTACACTTACGCAATTGCAAGAAACTTACAGGTATAAAAATTCAACATAAAAAATGTTGATAAAAATATAAAAAGTAGGGCCTTTCGATTAGAATAAATATTTAACAACATTTCAGCAAGAATCTCGGACCGCGAACAATGAGAATACAATAGATAATAATAGATATAACACCCATGACTCCAACCTGTAGTCTCCAATACATAACTGATATGTAGCTCCACCTCCAGAAGCAGCTTTAGGATAGCTCAAAGCCAGTGTTGCTGCTGACGGCATAGCGCAGTTTGTCCCGCAGCGTTGACTTCTTCTGATAGTTGGGCAGCTTCAGCAGATTGAAGCACGTAGAAGAGGTAGGCAGCCTATTGAGCGGATCCTTCTTACGTATCGTGAAGAAGCCACGTATAACGCTTCCAATGGTGTCTCCCGTATCCTCATCATCGCCCACCTCAACGCAACGTATGGAAAACGGCGGCTCAAGGTGTGCAAAGCCCAACAGTGGAGGCTTGGAGCAACTCGTAACGAACTGTAAAGGTGATTGTTTATAACAAATTTTCACAAACATATATGGTTTAGCGTACCTTAAGGAATAGTTTGCGCTCCTCCTCCGTGAAGTCTTTGGCCAATATATCCCACAGCCAGCCGACAACGCGATGGGAGTCATGAAAGCCTCCGTAATACTGCGTATGCTTACGCAAATCTTTCAGATCCAACGGCACTGTATCGCCCGAAATCAGACGCTGTAGTTCCGGCGGAGAAAATAGCGACAACCACTCGGGGTTGACAATGCTGCGAAAGCCACGATTGAATGCCTGTGTTTGTTCCCGAATTTGGGTGTTCATATGGAAATAGGCCATGTAGTGGATGTAGACCAGCTTGTTGTGATCGTTGACAACACGTGCCTTGCCACCCGGATGCAGTTCGTGTGTGACTATCTTCCCCATGACATCCTGATCCACAGAGAAAGTCAAGTTTAGGTCGGCCACATCCTGCTTGTAGTGCTTAATAAAGGTAAGGCTGCGATAGAGCTCGTTGTCGAGCGAGGGCAGCTCGTCCATGCAAGAGTAGAGGGCTTGCTGGGTTTGGCCCAGCAGCTGGGAAAGAAAGAACGAAGCGAATGGCACATCCACGACGATGCCCTCGTAAACCGCCTTGCCAAGCATTCGGCCCACAAATTCGAACAGCTGCAAATGATTGTCTTGCACATACGATATTGGCGATGGATATAGCCGCTGATCCGAGGTGGTTTTGAATAAATTCAATGACGGATCAAATACTTTCTTTATTGTTTCCTCCAGGAACTCTTTGAAAACGCCATCCTGATCAATGCCCGCTTCGTGCAGGCCCTGCTGATTGATAAAGCGTACTCGAATCACCCCCTTCAGTGCATGTGTCGGCTGAGCGGCCAGCTGACGATAGCCATCCTCAACAATCCGCTCCCGGTGTATGACAATCAGCGCTGATCGCGGCGAAGCACACGCACTCTCCGTCAGTCCCATCACAGCTTTCTCATTCTGCACGAACTTTCTGAACAGCTTGACGCGATCTTCGTGCGGTATGATGTGGGGCATTTTGGCCAGCAATAGCATTGCGTTACGCTTGGCCTTCTCCAGATCATTAATGAAAGTCGACGGCTTGATCTCCGGTATGAGCCAGTGATTGGCGGGGGTGAAGGGCCGTCGACAGTCACGACGATATAGACAAAGCAACAGTGTGTGAAGCGAAACAAATACGGGATTATTTACAACGTTTCTGGAGCCTTTTAAAAGATATCGAATTAATAGAGTAACACTTTAAAAGAAGTTCCTCTAGCCATACCCATAATATTATCATTGATCAGCTTGTATAGTATATTATTTAGAAAATACGTAAGCATAACGTAGTCATTAAGCCGAAAGGGATTCTGCTCGGTATACATCTCATACTCGTCCAGAATGCTGTTATGCAAAGAATGTTAAATTAGCCGCAATTATAATTTATAATCATTCATAAAACTCACGTCACATAGTGCGTCATGCAGTCACAAAAGAGCATCAGCATGGCTATCTGTGGCTTTTGTGTCGATGTCTCGCATCGCAAAAGGTCCAGATATTCCTTCATGCCGCAGTTGGGTCCCACTGAGGTTAGCAATAACCAAATGTCGTACAAAACATTGTCATTATAGCAAATACCCGTCAGAATATCCAACTTCATCTGGGAGAGTGTGCTTAATGCTGCATAATACATTGCACAAATACGCGACACCTGAACGACATCGCTATTGTGCAGTTTACGCCATTGTGCCTTCGGTTGCTTGCCAGCGGCTGTGGCCAAAAGGCCACTGCCCCTTGTGGAGCTGCGTTCGAGCGCTCGACGCAGCAAATTGCTTGTTGATGGCTGCTGCGGTGAGTGAAACTCGATTCGTTCGTAGTTTTCGTTGATTCCCTTTAGCAAGTCTCCCAGCAACAACTTAATGCATCGATGATCCCACAGCATGTGGAACTGTTTCTTAATGAGTGCCACATTCTGATTTTGAGCCGGCTCTGCGCAGGGTGTGTGCCAGCCTAGCAGCTCGTGCCACTGGGTGAACACGCCCTTCGTGGTCACTGTATTAGGTATTAGTTCCAGCAGCGATGTGGCGGTCTCCTACAACAATAGCAGAAATATATTAACAAATCAAATATACTAAATTGAAGCCATTTCTACTCACAGTCAGCAACGGATAGGCTAATTTCTTGGCCTCTGCTAAATTTTCTATATTGAACAAATTTACAATGTTGCCCAAAAAAGCCAGCGTTTTGGTGCCCGACATGCTCGAAGCGAACTCCTCGAACCACTGCAAGTCCTCCGATATGCCAACAGCACGCTTTAGCAACGACAACGAGCTGAACTGCTCAACGCACTGCGGAACGCTCTGATGCAAGTGATAAATTAACGCTGGCACTGAAAGTATTTCGCTTAGAAATTGTGAAAGCAAATTGCGACTGAAATCTCCATCTATCAACGGCCGCAGACAGAGCGTGATTATGGCCACAAGCGTCACTGGTTTGACGGACAATTCTTCGCGTGCGGTTCCTTTAAGCAGTATAATCTGCAAATGTGGGAATAGCAATTAATGATTATATATTATAATTGAGCTACGGCAAATTAAGGCTTTATCGTAGCTATATCTAGGCGCTTACATTTCGGATATACTTACGCGCATGGTCTTATAGAATCCCTGATGCACCAAGTGTCCCTGTATGTTACAACAGATCTTCTGCATAGCTGGCTGCAGCCGCTCAAATTGGGCATTTCGCAATATAGCCCAAGACTTGGGCGCAGTGAACACAATAAGAGTGTGTAAGAACAGAGCAAGCGATATACTGTCTGCATGATTCTCTGGCTTCAGCTCTGGCAGCAACTGCATGCAATTGTCCAATAGCTGTTTTATGTGTCCTATCCACGGTAAACTGCGATCCTTGTGCAAGCACAACGCGGCATAGGATATTTTTGGATTGTCAGCTTCCATTGCGCGGATCATATAGCGGCAAATGCGTTCCAGGCGTTCTCGCATACGCCCATCGTTTTTATCCAATTTGATTTGTGTTAGATAGCGACGCAGCACAGGATATACATTAAGAGCGGGCTGCAGCTCTGTATCCTTTTCCTCCTGTTCGCCCCCATGACCACTCATAAATAAGGTGTCGAAGTCGTTGCTGTGATTTTAAGAATGTGCTTAAATTAAAAATATTTTTATATGGGTATATTCTTACATTATGCATTTCTGATATTTTCTGCGGGCAGCGAATCCTTTAAGAGTAGCTTGCAACAAAATTGCAGCCTCTTCCCGCCTCTTCTCAAGGGCGCGCTCCTCCCTCGCAGCTTTTGTGTGTTCCAAAAAGTTGTTTTTATATGACTCCGTTTGTGCAAACATTTTGTATACAAATATGTTATGTGGTTTTGTTACTTTTTTCTAGATAGGAGTAGCTAAAATGCTGTTTTCCTTATTGTAATGTGATTTCGATGGGTTATATTGCGCAGCAATTGAACAATCTACAGCTTAAGCTTTTTATTTTAATGTGCATTGCATTTTCAGCTTGCAGTAGCACTCAATTTTCCAATAACTATTTTTCATTTTCCTTTGCCACTGTAAATTTTATGTGAACAAGTTGAGCTGAAGAAATATTCTAACAAGGTGGCAACATTATTATGAAGAAATAACGATGAATTTATCATCGATAGCATGGTGCTGTTGGTTTAGTAATTACCAACATTTTTTAATTGCAGTTACTTAAGAATGCCATCATTACACATTTTTCTTAATTATTACATTATAAGTAAATTTTAAAAAGTTAACGAGATATGCGATGATACCAGATGTTATGTATATCGAATTAGAAATCAGTTTGCGAGATAGTTCTTGTGAACCAGTTCGCTCCGAGCCGTCTTAAGTTTATTTGTCATCTCCATGTCCAGCAGCACTTTCTACGAGCGAGAACGTCGTCGCGTTTGCGGGAATAAATAATTAATTAACTGTAAAAATATAGTAAAAATTTGCACAAAAATAATGCCTACAACTGCGAGCGGATACAGTTGTGTACAGTTTTATTTCGTTTCATCTCAAAATGTGTTGCGTGCACGCGCAAATATGTCGTGGTGATGCCAGAGTCAGCTAAAAAAGGCGATGTAGTATGATTTTGCAAGACGTTGAAAATCAGAGAATAACAAAGCCAAGTCAAGGTGAAAATTATACAAAAATTAATGGATGCGTGATCCGATAGCATATGCATATCAAATTAACGAAATATGCTCGTATTTCATATATTGGAACGATCAAAACTGTGTGAAAATAATTTCAAGGTTTGCAGCGCTAGCAAGCGAATAGAAAGCAAAAGGTAATTGAAAAATAGAACGATTTTGGCACAAGCGCAGAGCGCAGTGTATAGTCTATGACTATGTTATTGTGTTGTTAAAGTTTTGTCTATGAATGGGTGGGTGGGGCGTGATTTTGGGGGCAGCTGGTTGTCGCAGCAGCAAAACAAAACAGCGAGCGTGTTTGTCGCTTATGTGTGGATGGTCGACAGAAGCACTTGCCCAAAACGGAACGGAAAGTGTGTGCAATTGAAAAGAAGCGACATGAAAACAATTGTGCTGCGCTCTGACTACCGAAAGCAAACACAACAACAACAGAAGCAGAGGCAATGCGAAGAAGAAGCAAAAGAAGAGTGCAAATGCCTGCCTGCCTTTGCTGTTGCTGCTTTGTAATCTCATGTAATTTGCCGCAATTTTTACTTGTATATTCTGGCTGTTTCCGTATTGCGTATGGTTGTGTGTGTGAGCGCGCTTTGCTTTGGGGTCGGTAGGTCGTTTTGTAGCGCGCGACATATTGTCGCTTGCATTCCGCTACATTCGCAGGCATACAAACACATTCACTAGCACACTCAGACGGGTGAGCATTTACGTACATATGTAGATGTATGTGTAAGTGTTTACAATATATTGCGAAGCTCTCCCCCGCTGTCGGCGTAGAGCGACAGCAGAAGCTGCAGTAGCAGCATTGCATGTTCCTTCGGCTGTCAGAAAAAGGCGCGCACGTTCGGCCCGCTTTGCGCTGCTGTGGCTGAGACTTAGTTTTATAGGCTCCACCATTTTTAAAAACGCCAGCTACATAAGCTGACGCCACTGACGCCAGCGTCAGCTTCAGCGCCAGCGCCAATCAACGTCATTCTCTCGGCTGCTGCTGATGCTCTGGTTTTGCCTCTAGGGTTGTCCGCAGCCATTGCCATCCTCAGTGCTGCTCCCCATAGCGTGCCCGCTGCATCAATTATAGGCCGTGCCGCCTGCCTGGCTTCGTTTCGTTAAATCCTCATTTCTGTTTGTGTTTATTCGAGTGCAGATAATCAAATTTATATTGTGCATGCAAAACACACAAATACGCGAAAAGAAAATGCTAAGCGAATGCGATCGCTGCTGGCTACATATGAAACACCGCACAATTGTGAGTACCACAGTATTGTTGATTCATGTGCCTGTGTGTGTATTTTATTTCTGTAAATATGTATCGTTTATTGAACTTTGACTAATTGTGGGTGCCTGTGCAATATACAGCAACTATGGTACTGACACATAACCTCAAACTTTGAAACTGTTACTTAGCAAGGCATGCCTAGATACCGTTACATGGCAGCGCGGCATGTAATAATATACATATATACATATGTATGTATGTGTATTTATTAGGTTTGATTTAGCTTTAATATCATACACAAGTAATCGTGTGCTGCAATTAAACAAAAATGTGAAATCCCACCTTAAAAAAAAATTAATAAAAATAAAAGTAAAAAAAAAAAAAAACAGTAAATTCCACTTGACCGCTCTTTAATACTGTAATTGAGACCGTTATGTTTTAATGCTTGCTCATGTGCACACATACATAGCGAGCATATTCATACATGTAGGTATGTACATTGACACAGCTGCATTGCCGAGAGAGCTTTAAAATTGTAACAGTACACAACAACTACAACAACAGCAATGAAAAGAAAAAATCGAAGAAAGTCGCTAGCGAAACAACTACAACATCTACTGTAACAAGCTTTATTATACCCGTTCGAAATGAGCACAACGTATAAAAGAAGAAAATACAAATGAAATAAAATAAAGCGCAACAAAATTAAATGAAAAGTGTAAATCACAAAAGCCCTGCCCTAACCACACTTATTCTAAATCTTTCCGTGGCCGCTCGCCTCCGTCCTCCCGCGCGCCTTTATATTAAAGCTAGACACGCTTTAACCTAATAGGTAAATAATGATTTTGAAAAATTTGATGTCTAGTATTATTATTGATTTATCGCCGCTGCGAACGCCACCATCACCGCCGCGAAGCTCCAAGCAAAGGTGTTATGTACCAAACTCGTTATTTATTTATTTATTTTTCTGATAAGAGCCACCCCGAAGGTGCCGCCCGACGTCCAATTGACGGACAGACGGACGGGCAAACGGTCGTTCGGAACGGGCTACAATGAATGCTAATTTTTTCCTTTTTCACATTTAATCATAATTTTTATTTTCGCCGTCGTGTATTTGTCAGGTTGCAATTTCTTGTTATTGTCGCCGCATTTGTAAATTTAATAAATTAGCAAAAAATTGATTTGATTAACTTTGAATGTTGTCGGCGGCGTCGTCGTCGTCGGCGTCGACATAGTCGCTTGACATCTATTATCGCCCGAAATGGGAGCAAAAACAGCAATAGCACCAGCTAAAGAGGGGTAAAAATTGCTTCCATTGGTGACGTGATTTGTGCTGATCACGTGGCTCCAAATCACATTAATCCCATGCTCTCCTTATTATTTTTGTAGAGAATTTGATCGGAGCTTCTATTTCAATACTATTCTATATATATAAATATTAATATTTTGTATATATTTTTTTGATTTTGTATCTAAATAAAAAATATAAAAATGAAATATGTATGTATATGTATATACCAATTTATTTAAATGAAATATATATAAATATATACATAATCGCTTTCATTTTTGCATTTAATTGATCTAATCAATAATAATAAACTAGTAGATTTGTATTTAAATTTTTATAATTTATTTCATGATGTTTTGTTTATATGTGTATATTTATTTAAAGGTGCATAAATTCATATACCTTCACTTACGTATTACGATTTTCTTTTCCCATTACAGTACTGGCAACTGAACGAAATAAGCAACACACTTTAAACTAAAACTGATTGTAATATTAACTAAGAGATCAACACGATAATATTAATTGAGTAATTGAAGAAGTGCAGATACAACGATATGAAGTACACAGCAGGAACAGACAACGCGCTGCCCACTGGCAGCAGCAGCAACAGCAACAGCAGCGCTGACCCTCAAAATGCATTAAATGAATTGCAATCAGGTGTCACAGCCACACAACAACAACTGCAGGAGCAACAACTCGCAGCAACGACAAGTTGCGGCCTAAGCACGGCCGCCGCTTCAAATCCCAACATAAACCCAAGTCCAAATCCTAGCAACAGCAACCAAATTGATACCAATGCTGCTAACAACAGCGGCACAACCCCAGCAACTGCAACATCGACAGCGACAACGGCAACGGCAACTGTAGCGGCAAGCAATGCTTTATTCTGCGAGCAGGTGACGACAGTGACGAATCTGTTCGAGAAGTGGAACGATTGTGAGCGCACAGTGGTCATGTATGCACTGCTGAAGCGACTGCGCTATCCCAGCCTCAAGTTTCTACAGTATTCCATAGACAACAATCTGACACAGAATCTGGGCACCTGCCAGTCGACTCTGAACAGCGTCGTCATTGACATCAATGCGAATAATCCAGCCTACTTGCAGAATCTGTTGAGTGCGTACAAAGCGTGTCAGCCCAATGATTTAGCTGAGGGCATGTCGTCCTCCTCGTCGGACAAGGACTCGATGCACTGCTATGGCAGCGACTTTCAGATAACCAGCAGCACAAATGCCGCCCAGCTGAGCGGCGATGAGCGCAAATTGTGCGCACGCAAGGAGGATATCCTGCATGAGGTGCTCAACATGTTGCCACTGCTGAAACCGGGGAACGAGGAGGCCAAACAGACCTACATGATGCTGATACCGCTTGCTGTGAAGGACACCGCTCAGCAGCTGGTGCCCACGGAGCTGGTGCAGCAGATCTTCTCCTATATGCTTATACATCCCGCCATCGGCAGCGATGATCGACGCTCGCTGAATGTGTGGCTTCGTCACCTCGAGGACTACATACAGGCGAACAAGCGCAGCAGTTTCTTTGTGCAGCCTGATCCGCTTCAGCTGCAGCTGCAAATGGCCACGGGCACCATTTCGGACAGCTCCTCGTCGTCCTCCTCATCGCTGGGCAACTTGACGCGCAACGTGGATTGGCAAACGATTGCGCCGCCCAGCAGACACCACAGCAAACAGCTGCCCAGGCAACCTGGGGAATGGCGGGGCAGCGTGAGCGGCTCCTGTGGCTCGATCAATCCACTCTGTGATAATTTAAATGGTATTACACTGAACGAATTAGCATCTAGTCAGAATAGCTTAGGGCTCTCCCTGGGCAGCAACTCGTCCCTGGTCAATGGCGTAGTTGCTGGCGCCGCGGCGGGCTCCATCATTGGCCTTGGCGGCAACGAAGACCATGACACCTCCTTCAGCA